TAAAACATAAAAATAAAAAGATGTTCCCCAAGTTACATTGTGAGTAAGCAATAAAGCTGGGATCAAACCCAGGCAATATAGCCTCCAAGTCATGAGAATAAATATTCGAGTAGGAAGAGCCTAATGGAACCGACTAATTTTTGGCTTTGTCTCTGCCATACATTTCAAACCAGTTTGCCATAAATAGGATAGGGCCTAATATCCCTAAAAAACTCTAAAAGATAATATCAGAAAAACTCCTGTAGATGTTGGCTTACGCAAAGAGTTCATGACAAATAACCCAAAAGCAAATGGTGACAAAAACAAATATAAATAGATAGGACGTAATTAAACTAAAAACCTTCTACACAGCAAAAGAAATAATCAGTAAAGTACACAGACAACCCACACAGTGGGAGACAATACTTGCAAACTATGCATCCAACAAAAAACTAGTATCCAAAATCTACAAAGGATCGCAAATCAGCAAGAAACAAACAATCCCATCAACAAGTGGGCTAAGGACTTAAATAGACAATTCTCAATAAAAGATATACAAATGGCAAACAAACATGGAAAAAATGCCCAACCTCACTAATTATCAGGAAAATGCCAATCAAAACCACAATAGAATGGCCATAATTTTAAAAATAATTAAAAAAAATAGATGTTGGCATGGATGTGGTGAAAATGGAACACTTACACTGCTGGGGGAATATAAATTAGCACAGCCGATGGCAAAACAATATGGAAATCTAAAGTAGATGTAAAGAACTAAAAGCAGATGTACCATTTGAGCTATTCTCTCTCTCTCTCTCTCTCTCTCTCTCTCTCTCTCTCTCTCACACACACACACACACACACACACACACACACATCATGGAATACTGCTCAGCCATACAAAGAAATAATGTCTTTCACAGCAATCTGGATGCAGTTGGAGGCCATTATTCTAAGTAAAGTAACTAAGGAATGGAAAACCAAACATCTTATGTTCTCACTTATAAGTGAAAGCTAAACTATGCAGACACAAAGGCATAAGAATGATACAATAAACTTTGGAAACTCAGGGAGAAGGGTTGGAGAGGGGTGAGGCATAAAATACTACGTATTAGGTATAATGGCCACTCTTTGGGTGATGGGTGGACAAAATCTCAGATCTCACCATTAAAGCACTTATCCATGTAACCAAAAACCGCCTCTTTCTTCAAAAGTATTGAAATTAAAAATAAATAGGAAAGAAAATAAAAGCAAACAATATAAAATGTGTCTTCCCTTTGTTCAAGCAGTTCCACATTGAGAAACTATTATGAAGGAGAAATCTCAAAACAAAGTATCAACAATAAAAAATAAAAATTGTGGCCACACACAAAAAATTAGCATCTGTTTGGCTTTAAAAATACTAGTCTCTAGATTTAATAGGAAAAGAAAAAAGGCAGGGGAAGATCGGGCATCCTGAACTGTAATACATAGAGTACATAATTCTGTTTGTGTGTGTGCATGTGATTGCATGCACAATATTATTGGGGGGCAATAGTAAACCAATCATTGTGCTATTTGTTTACTATGTTCTTTTATAGGAAATCTGATGCTATTTCATTTGCACCGCTATATCTGATGTCAAGTAAGCATGGAATTCCTGGGTGTAGGATAATTGTCTCACAAAATATTTCATGAGATAAACTTCCTGACAGTGTTAAGCAGCTATAGGGAAATTACTCAGGAGATAGGTGTATTTTTTTAATGGGTGTATTTTTTAATAGCTTCTAACTGAAATATTAACTGTAATGAACATGCCAACATCCACCTTGATGCGTTCATTTGGACATTCTCCGCATCCCAAGTAATTTGTCTAATACCAATTAGAGCATCACAGGTTGCTATTATCTTCTTGTGTTATTATTTTCATGAATTATTTTTGTTTTTAAAATTAGACCTTTTACAAATGAGAATAAATTTAAATATCTGAGGTGAAAATGTGAAGCTGAATGTCAGGACCCATGCATATCTATAATTTCAAATTCTGAAACTTCAGAATCATGGGGAAAATGCTAGAAAAATTAAAAATTGAGGAACTGATCTTTTGGGTCATTTAATCACCTCCCCTGCTGTTTACAGAGAATCCAAATATTGATTCTAGCTTTCCTTCTTCTGAAATTACTTATCACCTTTTTCCTTACATTAATTCATTCATGTGTTCATTTGTTTATTCATCTCTCCATGCATCCGTTATTTCAATCTTTCATTTAATAAATATTAGGCATCATTTATGTGCCTGATATGCTGCTTAGCACTGAGGAAACAAAAGTATGCCAATATTCCTTTTTCTCCGATACCTCATATTTTACTGAGAGAAACACATTAATAATCATAACATGATGAAATATGTCTTATAATAGAACTATGACAAAGTGCTGATTAGATAAATCATGAAGTGGTCACATTTCTTCTGGGGTTTGAAACAAGTGTATTTTAGGCAAAGCTAAAACAAACACAAAGATAAAGAGACATGAATGGGCACATCATGTCTAGAATTATTAAATAGCTGGGAATTATTAAATAGGCCTGACTAGAGTGGAGCATACATGTTTTGTGGAAGGATTGCGAAGAAGTGAGGATGAAGCTGGGTGGTTGAGTTCTAACCATGAAGGATCTTATATGTCATAAATAAGTTTAGATTTCTTCGTGTAATAGGATTGTATTACAGATTTTTCTTTTCAGGATGATGGTGGCAATGAGGAGGAGGAAGGAACAGCAAGGAAGAAGACAAGTCAGGACATTATTGCCATTATACACACCGAGTGAAATAAAGAGTGTGGCAGTGAAACAGAGAGTAGGAAATAGATCAGAAAGATGATTAGTAGCTGATTAGAGATAAAATATATAGAAAAAAGTTATTCTACTCTTAAACTGTTCAATGGGTATATATGAAATTTTTAAAAAAACAGTTCCTGAAAACATTTCTATGTTTTTGAACAATGTAGAGAAAATGGAGAATTGGAAATGTATAGATGATGTATTTCTCCATGTTCAACTTTTTTAAAAAAAAAAAAAAAAAAAAGAAAGAAACTCTTCTAAATTTTCTCAGTATTCATCATTTATCTTCAGCCACATGTGTCCACTGCAAGTCATGACACTGACCCACATTGCAACTGTGCTGGATTTGATTTATCTAAATAAAGGCAACTAGACTGTGATAAGAAAACAAAGTTCCACTCTTCCTCAAACCATCATTTATACCTTACATTTTCTGGTTTGGCAGGGTGAGGCCAAGATTAGCAGTGATAAGAAAACAGGGGTTTGAAAAAGAAAAAGAAAAAAAAAACAGGGGTCTGTTCTAATTGCTCAATAACACACATATTTTCAAAATCGGAAAATATATTTTTCTACTAATTATGCAATTAGTCTTTTTTCTTGCTATTAGTTTTAACTATTCCAACCTCTCAAATTTATGTAGAAAGTGCTCTACTTTGCTTTTAACTTATGCAACCAAAAATCCTCTATTGTCAGAGCCTAAATTACTATTAATAGCCAATTTTCCATGTGATTTATTATTATTTATTGTTATTTATAGTTTTCTCTCAACTACTAAATTATTATTCATTTATTTAAAAATCAAATAGTATGTTTTGATATTGCTGGAGTACTTTGAAAAAGGGAGTATAAATAAAACTATTTTTTTTTTTTTTTAGATGAAGTCTTGCTCTTGTTGCCCAGGCTGGAATGTAGTGGTGTTATCTCGGCTCACTGCAACTTTTGCCTCCCAGGTTCAAGAGATTCTCCTACCCCAGCTTTCAGAGTAGCTAGGATTATAGATGCCCACTACCATGCCCAGATAATTTTTTGTATTTTTATTGGAGACAGGGTTTCACCTTGTTGGTCAGGCTTGTCTTGAACTCTTGACCTCAAGAGTTCTTGACCACCTGCTTTGGCCTCCCAAAGTGCTGGGATTGCAGGGATGAGCCACTGCGCCCAGCCCGTAAAACTTTTAAACGTCTATCTATATCTATAAAATATCATAAGGTACAACTGAAAAATGTCATAAATCTCATTCTGACTGTTAATGAGGATTATGTAATTAATAATAAGTAGAGAGCAGCAAAGTTGGCTTGAAAAGTGAATGCTGGCCTAGTGCGATGGCTCTTGCCTGTAATCCCAGCACTTTGGGAGGTTGAGGTGGGTGGATCACAAGGTCAGGAGTTTGAGACCAGCCTGGTCAACATAGTCAAACCCCATCTCTACTAAAAACACAAAAAATTAGCTGGGCGTGGTGGCGGGTGCCTGTAATCCCAGCTACTTGGGAGGCTGGGGCGAGAATTGCCTGAACCTGGGAGGTGGAGGTTGCAGTAAGCCGAGATTGTTCCACTGCACTCCAGCCCGGGGGATAGTGCAGGACTCCATCTCAAAATTAAAAAAAGGAAAAAAAGAACGCCACACAGGGGTGACTAGACCCATATGTTGATTAAATGACTTGGCTTCATTTATCAGCCTTAAAGTGTGCATGATTCAAATTCCTGCCTCAGAAAATTCTAAATTACTCTAGGCATTGATGTCCAGGCAAGGCTATGAATGGGTAAGACCACAAATTTTACATCTTTGAATATAATTGATTATAACTACCTAATATTGTTTCCACAATTATTTTACACTTTTATGCTTAGATGACTATTTTTTGATTTCTGTGTGCTTTTAATGAACATTTTTCTTAGGTTTGTGCAGAATGTTTCCCAAATACTCACAAGAAATGCTTACTATCCTTTTTTTTCAATTCCTTGTAAAAATTGTTTATTTTAGTCTCATGTAAAGGCATGTGTCTCTTTGAAATTGAGAAAAAGAGTACTAAGAGTACATAATCCTCTAAGGGAAATACAAACCTATCCGCATTGTGAGCTTTTTGGACGTAAACGACGTTATTGTCTTGTTGTCCTTTTATGCTTGTTGAAATGTCCCCTTTCTCCCAGGTTTGCTTTCTGTAATAATCTGTGAAACAGTGGAGTGCCTGACATGTGTTTGTTCCTTAGGCAAACGTGTAAAACTCTTCAAGTTCGAATGGAGAAGTAGAAAGAGAAGGTTTCTGCTGTGCCTGATGACAATTTTTGATTTCTCCACACTCAAAAAAATTTTGGCTCCACCTTGGAGCACTAGTTGTGGCAAATCCTAGTGTTGGTCGGATTCTAAGGAAGGGACAGAAGTTTCATTGAGAAGTAAAGATTCCAAACAACTCCAGAAATGAGCTCCCGTCTTGGTTTATTTCTCACAGAGCAGCAGGTGTGTACATGGTGCTATCAAGATGAACTATGACCTACTCTTTCTTGTGGTTCCATTAGCATTTCAATGCCCCTGATTTCAGAAGGAGACAATGAACTTGGTACAGCTTTAGGGAGTCAGAGGGCAAAGAACCGCCTCAGTGGTCAGAAAAAAAAGGCATTGGAGTATCTTTATTAAAAAGTGGAAAGAGGCATCATTCCTTAAACTGATATTAGGCCCATACACTGAACAAATGACTGGCCACAAAGAGCCATTATGTTATGTCACCTATGATGGCTCTGCAGTATTGTTTTTTCAAAAATAGGAAATGGATAGTACAAAAATCTGGGTATATTCTTGGACTTCTATTAGTGTTCAAAGTGCTATTTTAGGGAAATTAGCATGAAAAGTACTGAGCCATCAGACTTTCACTTAATCTCCATAAACCAAATAAAGGCTGAATTCTTACCTAATGGTCCATTCTTTATATATTTAAATTGTCCCATAATTGAATGTTATTTCATACCTGCATCTAAGCATTACAAACAGTTAGATTTAAGCATTTATATTTTGATAAACTTTGAAAATTCAAAATTAGTGAACTAACATGGTTATCAGAAAAGTTCAAAAAGAATTACATCTAGGAAACAGAAAAAAAAAAAAAAAAAAGGAGTTGCAATTCTCATCTTTGATAAAATAGACTTTAAAGCAACAAAGATCAAAAGAGACAAAGAAGGAAACAAAAAAAAAAAAAAAAGCAAAAGCATCCAACATGTAAAAACATCACCATCTATGTTGCCCTATCCTTCAGAAAATAGATTTTAGTTTGAAATTTACAGAAGAAGCTGTTTTTATAGAAGATTTACCACATATTAAATGATCATCTCTTAATTTTATGGAAGAAGATAAGGATGGAGAGGAGAGAAGTCTCCATCTCCGTGTTCTGCTTCTGGCATGTCCTCAAAAACTGCTGGTACTAGTTTTGTCCTTCCACAAGTTACATCAAGTCCTTTTTTTTTTTTTTTTTTTTT